CCTTTTTTTTTTTTTTTTGAGACGCGGTTTTGCTCTTGTTACCCAGGCTGGAGTGCAATGGCGCGATCTCGGCTCACCGCAACCTCCGCCTCCTGGGTTCAGGCAATTCTCCTGCCTCAGCCTCCTAAGTTGCTGGGATTACAGGCACGCGCCACCATGCCCAGCTAGTTTTTTGTATTTTTAGTAGAGACGGGGTTTCACCATGTTGACAAGGATGGTCTCGATCTCTCGACCTCAAGATCCACCCGCCTCGGCCTCCCAAAGTGCTGGGATTACAGGCTTGAGCCAACACGCCTGGCCCCTTGTGCCCCTTTTTTTTAAGCCCTCCCTCTCACCCCTCCCTGCCCTATGCCCCCCAGGCAACCATTGAACTGCTTTCTGCCACTATAGAGATTCTAGAATTTTATCTAAACAAAATGATATAGTATGTACCCTTTTTTGTCTGACTTTCAAGCAGTGTGATTATTTTGAGATTCATCCATGTTGTATGAATCAATAGCTCATTTATTTTCATTGCTGTATAGTTATTTCTATGTATAAATGTAACACAATATGTTTATCCATTCATTTGTCAATGGACGTCTAGGTTGTTTTTAGTTTTTTGGCTATTACAAATAAACCTGCTATAAACATTCATGTATAATTCTTTGCATAGACATAGGCTTTCTTCTTCTTCTTCTTCTTTTTTTTTTTTTTTTTTTTTTTTTTGAGACAATTACTCTGTTGCCCAGGCTGAAGTGCAGTGGTGTGATCTCGGTTCACTGCAACCTCCACCTCTCTGGTTCAAGCGATTATTTTGCCTCAGCCTAAGTAGCTGGGCTTACAGGCGCCCACCATCACACCCAGCTAATTTTTGTATTTTTGATTGAGACAGGGTTTTGCTATGTTGGCCAGGCTGGTCTTGAACTCCTGACCTCAGGTGATGTACCTGCCTCAGCCTCCCAAAGTTTTGGGATTACAGGCAGGAGCCACCGTGCCTGGGAGACATAGGCTTTCATTTCTCTAGAGTAAATACCTAGGAGTAGAATGACTGGATCATGTAGATATAGGTGTGTTTGTTTAACTTTATAAGAAACTGAAAAACTATAAAATGGTTGGACTATTTTACATTCCCTCCCGTAGTATAAGATTATCTCAAGTACTCCACATTTTCCACCAACATTTGGTATGGTCAGTCCTTTTAATTTCAGATACTCTAATAGGTATGTAATGGAACTCTCTGATTTTAATTTGTGTTTCCCTAATAATTAAGGATTTTGAGTATCTTTTCATATGCTTATTTGCCATCCACAAATCTTTTTTGGTGAATATGTATTCAAATCATTTGTCTTTTTAACTAAGTTGTTTCCTTATGAGTAGGTCATGGTAGTTTTAAAAATATATATTCCAGATACAAGTTCCTTATTAGATATATAATTTGCAGGTATTTTCTCCAAGTCTGAGGGTTGTCTTTTCATTTTTAAAAAGTGCTGCAGACTCAATCATCTGAACTGGTTTAGGCATGGTTCTGGGTAATAAAGTGGGATTGATTAGATGATAGCTCCCAAGCCTGTGCAATCGTAATCGTTTAGACTTCTTATTTTATGATGACATTGTGGGAAGAGACAGCCTATGAGGTGTCACCACGTTTGCCTTCCTTGAAAATTTCTGGAAAGGGCTACACGATTTGGGTTAAGTTTCTAGAAATCAACTGCTGAGTAGTATACACAAACTGAGAAGGGTATCAAAACCAATAGGATTCAGCAGCAGTCACTGCAAATCCAGAGAACATTTGCTCTGGATATGGGGCCATGCTTTAAGGAAGTTCAGCCTATTCCACAGGAAAGTGGGTCTTTCAGGCTAAGCCGGTTTTTGCCTAGGAAGGGAGAATGGCTGCTGGAAGGGCTAAAGGTTGAATGCCTTTGCTTCAATGCTTTTGTCTTGGGGTAGGCTAAGGTGATATAAAAATGTGAAACCAGCAGAGTTAGTCTTCCCTGCTTCCTATTTCTCTTTTCAGTGACTCCTCTCATCCCTGCCCCTTTGTGTCATATTTATTATTTGCCTTCCTCAATCAACAATCTGAGAAGCTCAATCATACCAAAATGATAGGCAGTTAATGAAATACATACTCCCTAAGGCAATGCTGTGGTTTGTCCTTACCAAAATGCATATTGAGGCTTGGTCTCCAGCGCGGTAGTACTGGAAGGCAGTGCCTTTAAGAGGTGATTAGGTTGTTAAGAGAGATGAATGCTTTTCTCAAGGGAGTGAGTTCTGGCTCTTGGGGGACTGGATTAAATACCATGAGGGGGTTGTTATAAAGTGAGGCTGCCTCTTGCATTTGGTCTCTTTTGCACATGCATGCTCTCCTTTCTCACATGCACTCATGCCATGTGATGCCATCTGCCATGTTATGAGCTAGCGTGAGGCCCTTGCCAAATGTGGCCACTTAATCTTGGACTTTCCAGCCTCCAGAAATATGAGCCAGATAAACCTCTATTCTTTGTACATTACCCAGTCTCAGGTATTCTGTTACAGCAACAGAAAACAGACCAAGAGAGGGAGCTTTAAAAATAAATATATATGCCAGACTTTATCTAGCCTACTGCAAATTGGACAGTTCACCAGGTTGTTTATACATTCTATATTCTTAATGATTGTTAGTTGCTAAGCATTATAATATTTATCTTCTAGTATATATATATACTTGTTTCTGTTAAGTATTTATGAAACATGAGCCTGCTGGGTCAGAAGACAACAGTATGTTTAGCTTTAGTAGATACTGTAAAATAGTTCCAAATGGTTGTACTAATTTACACTCGCACCAGCAATGAATGGGAGTTTTGATTGCTTCACATCTTCATTAATTAAGCATGACCTTGCTGAGTTCCAGGCAATGGAATATGAGTGAAAATGAAGTGGTCACTTTCACGTCTGGACCATAAAACTTCCTGGGAAATTCTCCATGCTCGTCTCCATTTTATCTTGATACTGATAGCATAGTGACTTTAGAAGCCATGCTTTAAAGCAGTAAACCCACAAGATAGAATGAGTCTTAGTTCCTGAATCACTGCTCAGGTACCTGTTTTGGAACTTATTTGAGCAAGAAAGAAGTATCCTTTAGGTATAATAGCTAACATTACCCTTAGCAATATACAAAACTGTCACCTATCCCAACCACATCTTATTCAGGGGTGTACCTCTATCTTATTCAATACTACTACATACTCACCAGAATATCTAAAACTAAAGACCAAAGATAGCAACCTCTATCTTATTCAGGGGTGTACAAGAGAGGAGGAACATATTTTAAATCTCTCAATCCTGAGAGTTTTCCTAAGTGGGACCATAATGTTGAATTTTCTTTCCTTTTCTTTTTTTTTTTTTTTTTTTTTTTTTTTTTTTTTTGAGACGGAGTCTGGCTTTGTCACCAGGCTGGATTGCAGTGGCTCCACCTGCAAGGTTGCTCCATTGCAACCTCTACCTCCCAGGTTCAAGCGATTCTCCTGCCTCAGCCTCCCGAGTGGCTGGGATTACAGGCACCTGCCACCACGCCTAGCTAATTTTTGTATTTTTAGTAGAGATGGGGTTTCATCATGTTGGCCAGGCTGGTCTCGATCTTCTGAGCTCGTGATCCGCCCACCTCGGCCTCCCAACGTAATGCTGCATTTTGAAGACGTGTCTACACTCCATTTGGGTGAAGTGCCCTGGCCCATGAGTGCCAAGCATCTGCCGTTGTTCCCATCTTACTCCACTGGGGAAGCCTTTTGAACCTCAGAAAGCAGGAGCCAGCAAGACCCCAAGAGAATGGAAGAAAAGTAAAGTCAAGCAGAATTATAAATTCTTAGCAGGGAAGTTAATTTCAGATATTTTCGTTGGGCCTTCCAACTAAAGGGTCAATCATTTAAGTTATTCTTCACATCAATTTGGTGACAGAGATTAGAAGCCAGGTCTCCTGCTATCATTTATGGCAGAAGAAAATGGACAGGCACACACAGTACCGTTTTAGCAAGGAATTAAGCATGACATTTCTTCACCATTTCATGGTTTGTCTTAAAATGTTACACACACATTTTTTTTTAATTCTACATGAGAAAATAACCTCAATGATTTTAATGTAAAAGAATGTTTCCAATTACTTGTGGTAAAAAGAGGACTTTCAGGCCGGGCTCGGTGGCTCACGCCTGTAATCCTAGAACTTTGGGAGGCCGAGGTGGGTGGATCACAAGGTCAAGAGTTCGAGACCAGCCTGACCAACATGGTGAAACCTCGTCTCCTTATAAATACAAAAATTAGCCAGATGTGGTGGTATGCGCCTGTAATCCCAGCTACTTAGGAGGCTGAAGCAGGAGAATTGCTTGAACCTGGGAGGTGGAGGTTGCAGTGAGCCGAGACAGCACCATTGCACTCCAGCCTAGGTGACAGAGTGAGACTCCTTTCAAAAAAAACACAAAACAAAACCAAAAAAAAGGACTTTCCAGGAAGATGCATTATGCCCCTTGCCATCTTGTGACTTGCCCCAAGCATACACATCTCCCAGTGTAAACGACACAGTTTGATTATGGATATAAAATTATTTTAGTGCTAGGGAATGCTTGCATGGGCTTCTCCTCCCCGACCCCTTCTCTTATAGTCTAAGGCCTGTCATCCGCATATCCAGCCCCTATCCTAGTGAATCAAGCACTGCCAAGTTCCTATTCATCCTCTGAGATTCGGGTCCAGCATCATCTCCTCCAGCAAGCCGCCTATGACCTTCCAAGTCCAGTTGTTCCCTTCCCTAGTGTCTAGTCCACCACATACTAGATCTTGGTCATATTAATACTTAGCACATAACTGCCACATTGCAATCAGTCTATTTGCATACTTACCACCTCCAGAAAGTAGGACACATACAAGTACTCAATAATATCTGTTGAATGAGTGAACCGAGGTGATGGCTGTAGGCTCCCTGGAGCCAATGGCCCATCCTGCTCCCAATCCCTCCCAGCCATGGCTGTAAGGGTGGGAGATGAGTGGTCACTTACTGGCTAGGGGACGGGCTCCGGAGGTAGTGGGCCTGCACTGCCCTCACGGTGGCTTCATCATCCTCATTTGGGACTACTTGCTCCTCCTCTGGGTCCTCACTCGTCGCCATGACAACTTGCCAACCTCTGAAAGTCTGGCAAGAAAAAGGCAGTTAGGGAATTAGGTTCCAGAGGTTTTATGGGGAGAGGAGGGGCATCAGTGATGTCACCTCAGTAGAACTAGGAGTAGGAAGGTCCTGGTGGGCAAAGGACTGGCAAGGAAAACCCAGTCATACCTGGCCCAGCCACTGTTACCGGAACACCAAGGAGTGCACCCTGCCATATTAAGAGCCCACCTTAAAGTGACGATATTTAAGTGCCAGCGTGGCTCTTTCCACAGATGCCAGCAAGGGAGCAGGCAGAGGAGCCAGCAGGTTACCTAAACTCAGCTCAAGAAGTTGAAGAACAACGGCTTTCCTGGACCAGCAAGGTCTTTCAGTTGAAATGACAGGGTGTGCACACACACCCCCCTCACCTACGCCCGTGTGCACTCCTTTGTCTCTGCTGGGGAAGGTGCAGCTGGCCTTCAGTGGCTATAACCAAGGCCACAGGAGGCAGGGCCTTTGGCTCAGGCGTCATCCTGGAGCCTATTAAGGGACATGAAATCTCCCAGCAGCTGGTCCCAGACATCATGGCTGGGCCCTGACACTCAGGGCAAAGCTGCTGCTCCTTGGATCTTAAGTCCCGGCCACACCAGGACTGAGTGGAGAAGCACACTCACCTCTACCCTGCCTGGACGTTCCACACCAAGGGCTGAGAGACCCAGATGAAATGACCGAAGCTCCGGCCAGTGAGACAGGAACCAACCACCTCCTCTCTTCGGGGCTTCTTCTCCTAGGAGCAGGACAGCTGTTAACAGGAAACCTTAGCCACCCTCTAAATTTAGCCTCTGGCCCCATAGGCTGGCAGATCTCTGGGAGAAAGGAATGCAGGCTCCAGACCCAGGCCCCAAAGCAGTCCTCACTTAACTCTTTCCCTCCTGGCTGATTCTCCAGACACTGACATTTTGCAGCAGAATTGGAAGACGTTTATCCTTGGTAGATGGAGAATCTAAAGAACAGCTTTTCTCTGGGCTCTCTCTTGGTAGATGGAGACTCTATAAGAACAGCTTTTCTCTGGCTCTTGCCTGGGGCTGCCTATTCAAAGTTCTTTCAAAAGAGTGTCTAAATCCAAGGATCTAGAGGAATAAACGAAATAACCACAGCCCTACGTCAACTAAAGAGGCCTAAAACAAGTCCAGATATAAAGAATGGAAAGGGTCCTCAACAGACATATTGGGAGAGCACTGTGGTGCAATTAAACATTCTTTTTGTTTTTTTTTAAAGACAAGGTCTCACTCTGTCTCCTTGGTGAGGGTACAGTGGTACCCTGGTGAGGGTACAGTGGTGACCCATTAGGGTCAGGGGATCCTCCCACCTCAGACTCCCGAGTACCTGGGAGTACAGGCACATGCCACCACACCCAGATAATTTTTAAATTTTTTATAGAGATGGGATCTCATTATATTGCCCAAGCTGGTCTCAAACTTGGGCTAAAGTGACCCATCCACCTTAGCCTCTCAAAGTGCTGGGATGGATTACAGTTGAGAGCCACTGTGCCCTGCCTACATTTCTTTTAATAGACATGTCTCTGGATGGTCGACTGGGCAGTTGTGCTTGCTCTCCACGTTCCCTCCCTCTAATCACACCCCAAGGTGATGATGGATTGGCAACCCTGGGTGACATAAGAATTCCATGAGCCTCACAAATGTCAAAGAAGCTACCTTATCCCACTATACCCTCTGCCACCACTATGATCAAAGCAAAGCCAAATAGCCCACCTCTCATCCCACACATACTGTAGTCACCCTTTCATCTATTTATCCAGCCGTCTATTTATTTACCCATTTACAAATATTCATTGATTACCTACTATCCATGGCACTGTACTTGATGAAAGTTGGTAAGACACACAGCTTGAAGTTGTCTTTCTTCCTAGCTATGTGGAACAATGCCTGGTATATAGTATCATTAAAAATGGCTGAATGAATGAGCTCACTGTTTATTAGGAGAAATGAGACACAGACCAAAAATAACTCCAGCATAAGACAGAATGTAGTTAGTGTCCTAAAAGAGAGCCAGAGTACTGTGTGAGTTCAAAGGCGAGAGAGAACCCTTCTGACAGAAGAAATCAGGGAAGACTTCGGAGAAGCAGTGGTGACATATGGGCTGGCTTCTAAAGGACAAGTAAGATTCTAAGAGCAGATATAGCAGGGAAAGGGAATTACCGAGGGGATGGCATCGACATTGTTTTGGGAGTAGGGAAGTATGAGTTCTGGGTGTGAAAAAATGTCTAACTTGGTCAGAGCATAAGTTACATATTCTGGAAGGCAGATTATGTTTGAGAACAAATGCTAGAATACCTTAAAAGCCAATTTGTTAGGTTCTGCAGAATCAGTGATAGGGCCCGAGCAGACAAGTAATATCATCAGGGCTGTGTGTTAGGAAGATTAATTTGGCAAAGATAAAGTGCTAGGGATGAACAATTATTATCTATAATAAGAGAACTTAACAAGGTGCCTGAGTGAAATGTAATAAACAGAAAACAACAAATTTTGTATGACAACCAAACCGAACAGCCAAAAGGATGGATACAAAAGAATCCATGTAGGATATTATGAATTCACAACGCAAAAAAGCGCTAGGGGAAATATTTGCAATGTTTATCACATCCAAAAGTTCCTTTCCCTATTATACAAAGAGCTGCTAGAAGTCAACAAGCTAAAGACCAACAACTCAATAGAAATATGGCAAAATGGCCAGACATGGTGGCTCATGCCTTTAATCCCAGCACTTTGGGAGGCTGAGGCAGGATTGCTTGAGCCCAGGTATTCAAGACCAGCCCGGACAACATAGTGAGACTCTATCTCTATTTTTAAAAGTTTACTTTAAAAAAGAAATATGAGAAAATGAGCTACCTAGACTCAGAAAAGAAAAAAATATATATATGATGCACAACTATATAAAAAGATTTTCAATTTCACGAATACTTTTTAAAAGTAAATTATATATACGTGGGATATCATGTTCACTTAGATTGTCAAGGAGCAGAAAATGTGATAACTGTGTTATGAATATTTGGTAACTGTGTTCATGAGCATGTGGGGAAATAGGCATCCTTATGTGCTGTTAATAGGGGTGTAGGTTGTAAAATTCTCATGGTAGTTTAGCAATATCTATAAAAATTACAAATGTGCATAACCTTTCACTGAGTCATTTCACAAATTTTACTTTTAAGAACTTATCTTAGAGAGAGATCCAAGATGGCTGATCACTAGCAACTCGGGATTGTAGCTCCCAGTGAAAGCGCAAAGAACGAGAGGACGCCATACCTTCACATGAATTCTTGTTGCTCACGCACCAGGAGATTCCCAGCGGAGGAGCCCCACGGGTCGCCAGTGCAACTCTTGTGACCGGTGAGGCAGTTTTGCCGGCGTCTCGGAGCGTCGGTTCTTGATGCAGAGTCAGAAGGGCACCATCAATCTTAACACCACTGATTTGGTCGGTGCAGTGGGTTGCTCAGATTTCGGCGCTGAGAATCAATAAGTCGGACGTCCACTCAGAAAACCAATTACAGGGACGGTAAATACAAAGACCACAGATGGATAAATTTATAACGAAGGGAAGAAAACAGCCAAAAAAGGCTGAGAATACCCAAGATCAGAACGCCTCTCCCTCAGCAGGGGATCACAGTTCCTCATCAGCAACGGAACAAGGTCTGATGGAGAACAGGTGTGTTCCAATTACAGAAGCAGGCTTCAAAATGTGGATAATGAGAAACTTCTGTGAATTAAAAGAACTTGTTTTAAACCAATCCAAAGAAACTAAGAACTTTGAAAAAAGATTTGACGAAATGTTAAAAAGAATACACAATTTAGAGACGAATATAAGTGAATTGATGGAGCTGAAAAACACAATACGAGAACTTCGTGAAGTATGCACAAGTTTTAACAGCCGAATTGATCAAGCAGAAGAAAAGATATCAGAGGTCGAAGACCAACTCAATGAAATAAAAGAAGAGGACAAGATTAGAGAAAAAAGGATAAAAAGGAACGAGCAAAGTCTCCAAGAAATATGGGACTATGTGAAAAGACCTAATCTACGCTTGATAGGTGTACCTGAATGTGACGAAGAGAATGAATCCAAGCTGGAAAATACGCTTCAGGACATTATTCAGGAAAATTTTCCCAACCTAGTAAGGCAGGGTAATATTCAACTCCAGGTAATACAGAGAACACCACAGAGATATTCCTCAAGAAGAGCAACTCCAAGGCACATAATCGTCAGATTCACCAGGGTTGAAATGAAGGAGAAAATACTAAGGGCAGCCAGAGAGAAAGGTCAGGTTACCCACAAAGGGAAGCCTATCAGACTTACAGCAGATCTCTCAACAGAAACCCTACAAGCCAGAAGAGAGTGGGGACCAATATTCAACATCCTTAAAGAAAAGAACTTTCAACCCAGAATTTCACATCCAGCCAAACTAAGCTTCACAAATGAAGGAAAAATAAAGTTTTTTGTGAATAAGCAAGCACTCAGAGATTTCATCACCACCAGGCCTGCTTTACAAGAGCTTCTGAAAGAACCACTACACATAGAAAGGAACAAACAGTATCAGCCTTTCTAAAAAAATACCAAAAAGAGCATCAATATAATGAAGAATTTACATCAACTAATGGGCAAAATAGCCAGCTAGTATTAACTGGCAGTATTAAACTCACATATATTATTATTGATTCTAAATTTAAATTGACTAAATCCCCCATCCAAAGACAGACAGGCAATTTGAATAAAAAACTAAAACCGATCAGTATGCTGCATCCAGACCCATCTCACATTCAAGGATACACAAAGATTTAAAACAAGAGATGGAGAAGGATTTACCAACCAAACAGAGAGCTAAGATAAATAAATAAAAAGCAGAAGTTAAAATTAAGCAACAAAGATCAAAAGAAGCAAAGAAGGACATTATATAATGATAAAAGGATCAATGCAACAACAAGAAGAGCTAAAGATCCTAAATATATATGCATCCAATACAGGAATACATAGATCAGTACCACATCATATCAACTTAGAAGTTTAAACGAAATGTTCGTTGGCTCCTTGTTTGTTATTCTCTTCCCTCATTTTCTTTTATATCTCCATTATTAAGGATAATTATAGGCATACCCATATTTAGACTGCATTCTAGTCCGGGCAATAAAGCAATACCCCCATTCTCTCTCCCTCTTCTTCTTTCTCTTTCTTCCTCTTCTTTATTCTTTTTCTTATAAAAAAAAATAAAAATAATAGAAAAAAAAAGAACTTATCTTACACGTATAATCACAACATGTGTGAAATATACACATAATGGATATTGGTTGTAGTCTTTTCATAATTGTGAAAGATTAGGAAAAACAGTCTTAAAAGTAGTTTGGTTAAATAAATCATGTCACTCATAGACCGTGAAATATCACCCCCAGTTTTAAATAGACGATGCTGGTAGTGCTATACATACTGATACAGAAAGCTTTCTAAGGCCTTTCATTCAATGGAAAATGAAAAAATCATTGCAGAACAGTGTATATGGTACACTATCATCTGTGCATATTCTATCATATATCTAGACTATCTATGGAAGAAACCAGCAACAGTGGCTGCTCCTGGAGAATTACGGTCCCAGAATCACAGAATTGACCATTCTTTCAGTAGGGTGGCCATCATCCCAATTTGCCTGGGACTGAGAGGATTCCTTTAGGTTTGAAAACCAGGACAGTCCTAGGAAAACTGAGATGAGTTGGTCACATGTACCCGAGATGATCTTTCACTTATG